AAGTTAGGAGACTTGACCAAAGCGCTTTACACTACATTCATTCACCCATTCACACACACACTCACACACTGATGGTGGTACGCAAATGAGCGCTCTTCAAGAAGCTCCCAGAAGTTCTGCAGACCCCTGTAGTTCTGTTTATGTCGACTAACATGTCTGTAAAGAAGCCAGATGAAACTTCTGGTCTTCATGATCAGTGTATTTAAACTCATGGTTTTTGGTTATCTTTCTTCAATAATGGTCATTATTTTGCTCCTATCTTGTTTAGAGCTGTTAATTTTTCTGAACATGTCTTTCAGTCTTGTACCGAATGTTGCACTATTCAGAGTTTTAAGGTTTTTTTCTTCTCACTGATAATTTTATATGTTATTCGGGAATGATGCTCCGAGTTTAACCTTTGTTTTCTATTTTACAAACTAAACACCTTTCAGTAATGTTATAGTGTAAAAATATACTATGCGAGGCACTAAATGAGGGCTTGTCTGGTTTCCTCTTTCTGAACTTCTCCCCCCCCCCTAAATTCTAAGTTCAGTGAAATGATTGACAATGTATTTGCCTTCTTTCAAATGTGTCCTTTTTGATTATTTTTGATGTTTTCTTCCAAATGTTCTTCAAAAGAAAGTATGAAATATTAAATCTCAAATGAATGGATATAGGGTTTACAGCCAAGTTATTGTGTTCAAATTGATCTTTCCATTTCTTATGGTAAACAAGATCAATGAAAAGGAACATGGTGACTAAAGAGGAAACTAATTGAAAAAGCACTTCTAACAGACTGAACACAGTCCATGCCAAAGCACAGGTGTGACAGCAGGAACTGTCTGACCTTACTCTGACGAACACAATACATCATTAAAATGATTTGTGTGATCTGAGCTCTAAAGGGAAACATCTACTCCTCTGTGTACTTTCCAGGACCTGGTATAGATTGAGAGGTCACACGGCCGATGCGAAGTCACCTAACAAACATAAACCCTATTTCTCTGAAAGATTGGACCTTGTGTTTGCACATGGGACCAGAGTGGTCTTCCCCCTGTCTTCAATGGATGCTTTGAAAGTACACAAATAAAAACTCTTTCTAAATTCTTACTTTGTTGTACAGCTACCTTGGATTTTTCTTAAAGATTTTTCATGGAAGATGATTTTTGAAATAAATATCTAGTTCTTAATGTTGGTTAGGGCTTAAAATCAAGGTTTGAATTGCATCAAAATTAATTTGGAAATTTCAAACAAAAGAGAAAAACACTATATGGAATGGTGGAAACTTACAAGGAATCTAGATATTAATATAGACTGTATAAAAGACACTTTACCTTTGTTCTCGCTGACATTAAATTCACTAAAACATTTCTTGTTTTAGGTCAGCTGGGTATTATTTTCTATTATCAAGAGTTTAAATAAAATGATGTCCTTTTCTAAGCTAATCTTAATTTTTTTTAAAGTTTTTGAGGCACACCCTGCGGCTTTGCAAAGCATCATGAAATAATGTGCCAAAATATTAGGGATTTGTAATCTGGTTCACCCTGGGGTATAATTACCAGACGACTGAAGCAGTGGCGGTTGGCCAATAGAGGGCGCCCTACTAACCCATTGACCTTGATTAAAGGGCCGAGCTGTGAAGGTGAACACCAAATGAGTAATTAGCGGTAAAGGTTTGAATTCCATAAAAGTTTTAAGAAATCTTTTGAAAGATTAACATTTATGGTTTTCCGAACGTAGGAAGAGGTTTATTGAAGTTAATGCCTGACTGTGGCGAAAAAATACTTTTACTATAGGTATGTTTCCTTCAGCAATCTGCAAAAAAGGTTTTATGCTGAGGTTACTGTTCTACTTTACTGGAGGGGTTCTTCTATACCATCAAGTGAAAAGCAAAAACACTGATCCTGCAAATGATATCCTGCAGCGGCTGATTGCTGATTACATCATGTTCTGGTTAGAAATTTGGGATTTTGTTCCTTCCTCACTCAGTAGGTTGGTTTAAACATTTTGGCCTTTCAGTCTTTCATCTTGAAGGTCATTTTATTCAGCATGGCTCATTTACTTTGGTTTCAAGTAGCTTTTTAAAGAGCATTGAGGGTTTATACTGGCTTCCTATTTAAAATAAAACCCTGTCCTATAAACAGATTGAGTGAAAAACATCACTCTCAGCATGATTAGCTTGGTTAAATGATCTTTGACTTGTTAGTCTGCAATTTTATTTAAATAACAGCATATTCTGTGGCATGGTTTAAAGTTTTTAAGAAAAAATAATAAAAAAAATGAACTCAACGATCCTTCATAAAACCAGTGGTAATAGGATTATGTTTCCGTACCTTCATCTGGATGTGCTGTGCCTTCCAGTCTGGACGGAGTTTCCTCACAAGGTTTAAGATTCCCTCCCTGGGTTCTTGCTCATCAATGGTAATGTCTACATGGAGAAGTTGATCCCGAGAACATCCAAGTTCTTGATCCATGTTAAATAGAGTAAACAATACCCTCAGAACCTGCTTCAGAACTTTGCGGAAAGGTGTTGAGACTCAACACCTGCTTAAAGGTTTATTTGAGGCCAGATTGGATATAATCTTTTCTTCCAGTAGAGATTAAATAAACCCAGCATTGACCTCCTCTGTACGGTTAAGAGGCCGATTTGCTGCACCTAGAAGTCAGTGAAATTGTTCATTTGTATGACTCAGCAGCTGGGGCCAATGTTCCTGTGGTCATCTTCAGCCCCTCCACTGGAGTTTACTTATTAACTACCTGTGGATCAAGTTTGGCAGCAGGAGAAGAGCTGGATAGGACCAGAATTTAAAAGACAAAAAAGTTACTTTTAAAAACTTGGAAGGTAGTCAGACGCCTAAAACATTTCCGCATTTTCTCTTCCATCTTCTACTTATTTTTACTGTTATTAGCCAATAAACCAATAAACTATTATTAGTTTATTGGTGTTTTTTTTATTTTTTTGACTAACATAGAACTTGACTGTGAATAGGAAAGAAGTCGACTTATAGTTTTCATACATTTATTAAATATAGAAATTACCTTAAGGCTGCAATCAAATATAGCTTTGCATGAAATGTTCACTGAAAATTTCAAACTTGATAATGTATGTAAATCTGATCTGCTAACCGGCCACAGCAAGAACTGTTTCTGTTTATAGAGCAAAATTGGAGGCACATCAATGTAATGTGTTTGCCTTCATAAAACATGCAGAAAGTATGTTGATCATCAGAATGTGCAAACTGCAGGGAGGAGGCTATGCAACTGTGATTACTTACCATCCACAATGCCATTTTTCAAACTTCAAATAAATTATGGGGCCTTTTTCTGTGTCAATATTATACAAAAAAGTTTGAAGCCATTGTGACAAAATGAGGCACAGGTGCAACTGCAGACTAAATAGAAAAACTTCTGTGTTCATAACATCCTTTTTTGGATTCTCAAAGATTCAAATAGTTTAAATATTGTTTTTTTTATTTACCAACTCTTATTTACCACAACTAGAGACAATGAAATATCTCGTATTCAATTAATTTTCAACTCAGGTTATTTTTAAAGTGTCGATTGACAACACCTGTCATCTCAAGGGAGTTTAGAGAAACAAATCAGATCGAAAGTTGGCTACCGGTATTAAAAAAAAAAAAAACATTAAGATTACATCCAGGGATTTATATAAATCTGATTAATGGCAGTGAGGAGAAATCTAAAACATGCAGGGCAGTAGAACTTGAAGACCAACATTAAAAACCACTGATCTACATCAATCTTTCATACTACATGCTGCAACAGGGGAGAGGAAAAATGCCCTTTTAACTGGAAAGAACCTCCAGCTGAACCAGAGCCAGGCTCAGTCTGAGTGGTCTTCTGTTGAGGCCAGTTGGAAGTTTCAGAAGACAGGAGCAGATAGAAAATAGGAAAATACAAGCACTGATCCATAAATAATTTTCTGTTAAAAAGTTAGCGGTAAACTACGTACAGTAGCTCCTCAGGTTGCTCTGTCTGGGAAAATTATTTTTTATCTGGAAAAGGTCTTGGCAAAACTGCATTTTCGTTTCTTGCATATGTATTTAAATTCTATATTTTGGAGGATGAATATTAGGAGAGAATGAGATCACATTTTACCTTGTTTGTCATTGTGCAGTTGTTAGCTGCAGAAGTTGCTCTTTTAGAGGACTTCTGCAGGTAAAGCAACCATGCTCCCTATGTATTACTTTATAATCATAACCCAGTATTATCATCATCATTTAAGATTAGGGGAAAATGTTAACAAAAATATTTTTTTTACTCAGATACTCTGAAATGTAATGTGGGGGCTGTATTTAAAACAATGATCTTTGCTAGTTTTGACAGATTGGATGATCCAACTTCTTTCAAGACTAGATTTATTAATGGCAAATTTTCTCCAAAAGCCACATTTGTAAAAAACTATAGTTCTTATTTAACAAAATATAAAACAGAATGCATAATTGTGAATGTCCCGTTGAAATAAACAAAGGTTCCATGAAATGAGCAGATAAAAAATGTATCTATTTACTTTAATGCATGATTCATATATAT